ACTTTGCCACACTCTGTCCCTAGTTCCTCAAAATCCTTGACAACGTTGCTTAGAAATTTGGTTCAAAACCTCATCTCTGATTTTAATCTGTTATGCTACCTGTTAAGTTTCGCGAGATTATAAATGTCATGGAGTTATATAAAAAGGAGGGACAGCTAGGGACACTGAGTACTTGTAAGGCTATCTGTTAAGATTGCATGAAATACTAAAAGTCATGAAATCCATTATCGCTGTGCTATCTTCACCTTAGAGTAAAATGACAAATAAAGTCACTGAAGCAATGAAACAAAAGTTTTGGTAGAAATACATTAAATCAGGAACTATTCCAGAAGGTTTTTACATTCATACTATGAAGGATGGTAGAGTTCAGTTTAGAAAGATAAAGACAACCATTAGATAAAGAAGGTATATTAAGGAAGATTAAACTTCATGAGGACAACATTGGTAACTTAGGAAGAAGTTAGAAGAGTTGGAGAAAGCAGACGACAGTGAGGAATAAAGCAATGAATTCAACAGGTTAGAAATGAGGGTAGAAATGAGGTTAGATCTACCCTCTACCCTAAACTTATTTTTGCGCTATGTTTTCATACGTGTGAGGGTGGTGATATTCATTAATTTTTAAGTTTATTTTAAATAAATGACGAAAACTATTGAGATAACAACTACAACGGTCATGAGTTCAAGAATTTGTTCTTCGTTCCTCGTGAAAATATAGGGTGTCCAAAGGTGCGTTTAGCACACGCGCCTATATGAGACTATTAAAGGAGATATATGCTGATTATAAATATATAATAAAAATATGAATATATGTATATGATGAGTATGTTGTATTTTGGCGCCATGCCGGGATATAAATGAATTTTGAGACAAGAGGCGGTTTCGCGGGAAATTTTGGCGGGATTTTTTTTCATTTTTTAATGAATCATAAAGAAAACATCCTCGCTCTTGCAAAAAATGCAAAGACTGTAAAAAAATCTACGAGACATTGGTAAAATGCTTCGGTAGGATGCTCCTAGCTATCCACTGTAACGTATCATGTTAGGATGTATCACTTCATGAACAAAAAGGCGCCATCATAAAATTGACAAAAAATCGCCGGATCAAAGAAAAATCAAAGCAATTCTTCAAGCGCTAGATGAAGACCCAAGAGCATCACTCAGAAGGATAGAGGAGATGAAAAAGATACCACGTACAACAGTCAGTTATTATCTGCACAATTATTTGAACTACAAACTAGCGTATACACGTTGGGTTCCGCACAACCTTAATTCAGTTCAAAAAAAATCTAGAGTCCAATCTTCGAAAGAGCTCCTCTCTATATTGGGTGCGTATCAATCCAAGAAGTTTCGCTTTTTAGTAACAGGGGACGAGTCTTGGTTTCAATATGCAACAGAAGCCAAAATCATGTGATCCCGAAGGATGAAAATCCGCAAAACATTCCCGAAGAAAAAATTGACACACCAATGATTATGTGTCGGTTTTTTTGGGCGTGAATGGCATCATCGCAATTGATATTCTTCAAAAACCTAATACGATGAATGCTCAGTATCTAATGACAATGTTCTTACTCAAATTATCAATTCTGATGAGTTTGGGAAATCCAAACAACAAAAACAAAAGTTTGCAATTCATTTTGATAATTCAAGAGTTCACAAAAGTCATAAGGTAATGAATTACTTGGTGGAAAACAATGTCAAAGTTGTTCAAACCCAATTTATTCACCTGATATTGCACCCTCTGACTTTTATTTATTCGGCACGCTAAAAAGAGAGCTGAAGGACGCGAATTCGCGAGTCCAGATGATCTTGAATTTTAAGAGAGCAATTTGAGCAATTTTCTCATGATGATTTAAAGCGTGTCTTTCAAGCCTGGATCGATCGCTGCGAACGCGTGATTGAATCCAATGGTGATTATATTTAAATAAACTTTATATATATGTAACTTGTTTATTTCTATTCGCAGTATTCAGGTTTGTGCTAAACACACCTTTGGACACCCTATACATTCTATCAGATACGAGGGAGAAAGGGTAAAGTTAGTTTGAGCGTTTATGAAGGAATGAAGAATGGAAAGTTTATACAAAGCATACGATACAAACGGTAAACGTGTTTCATTACATTTGTCAAAACTTACTAACATTTATTTTGACAGTGACTTTGACCTATATGAAGAAGAAAGTGAGTCAGAAGATTATGAGCTGTTATGTGAAGCACAGCAATGGAGGAGTTGCAATACTTTTGTAAGTGAGAACGTTTATTTTTACATTAGTGAGGTCGTTTGTGAAAACGTTAGTGAAGTGAAGTGGTTGGCGGCTTTGTAAATATTTAATGTTAAGTAGTGTTGTCGTTTGTGTTGTAAAAAATATATGTTAATGGTTTTGTAAATATTTAAGGTTAAGTGGTGTACGGAGGCGCGCAGTGCCTCAGTACACGACTTAGCCATACTAACTCGGTTTGGTTTTGCAACTGTAAAAGTTTTTCTGCCTTTACATTTGCTTCAACTTCTTTTTTATACTCATCGCTATCCATATATGTCTTCATGGCTTTTTGTTTTATCTCTTCATCTTTCAGTACTTTATATTGAGTAGTATGGTTTTCAAATTTATAACATCTTGTTCCATTTTTGCTACTTCTGCTGCTTTTTCTGACACTTTTTTCGCATATTCCTCTGTACTTAGTTCTTTCAGTTGTTCTTCTTTCTTCTTTTTCTCTACGTTTAACTCATTGAGTTTCTTTGTGTGTCTGTCATATTCTAGTTTCTTTTCGTTTTCACTTATTTGTTTCTGTATGTCTATGTTTGACTTTTTGACATCTGTTATTTGATTTTTGAGTGAACTCAAATTCATTTGACTTTGAGGGTTATAAGCTGTTCCGTCTGCAGCTCCACCATAGCCTGCCATTTTCGCTAAAAGTGCCGCTCTTAAACTCTCCACTCTGTGCACCAATAACTCGGCTTAAAAGCATAGGGTTGCTTGACATTTGTTGCAACATAGTGGGGTCATTCATCATTTGTTGTTGCAACTGTTTGTTGTGGTGTCAGTTTTACTATTGGATGTTTCAATGCTCCCTTCCTCTTACGTATATTCTTACGTAGCTTACGTGGCATTTTAAGTGAAGTAAAAAACGGTTTTTGACAGATGTTTATATGACACTTTTTGTTCAGCACAAAAAACTACTCGGTCAAAAGTGTTGTCAGTTTTGTAAAATAACCGTCCTATCTCATTCTATAAGGGGGAAAAGGCTCTCAAAGTATACTCCTCTGGAACGCCTGTAACTTTCCTGTAGCGACGATAGACCCTTACTTGTCCGACAAAGTTATACTATTTTGAGTGCTCTACAAAAAAGTCAACGGCGACGACTCTTAAAAACCGTTGTGTAAAAAGTTTTACCGTTGGACAAAAAAGTATATATAGAAAACAAAAAACGTTTATAGTTCATTCAATATTTGAGATAAACCGTTTTTCCAACGGTAAATTTAAATAAAATAAAAAAAATAGAGGGTGTTACCGTTGACGAAAACGAAAACGGTTCATCTCAAATATTTAAATATCTGTCTTTTTTGGTCAGTTCATTTTTATCTAATGGAAGCCAACGCTGTTAACCACAATTCAAACATTAACAATTCTCAACCGCTAACCAAAGCCAAAGCCCCACAACCTCCAAGAACCGGCACAGCGGTTAGAATAACCACCAAAAAGTCTAACAGCGAATTAAGAGAAATTCTTCAACAAATTTGCTCTAAATATCTCAAAGACGCCGAAGAAAACACACAACCAGACGCTACATACAATACTCAGTTCTGTGAAGTTCTGAACAAAGCAATTGCTAGTTCAATTGAACTTAATAAGACAATTCCAAGTCCAATTGAGCTTAGCGATGTCTTAGTTCAGTATTTTCCAACATTTACTAAGCTTATAATGTTGAGAACTTTATGCCAAGTTCGTCAAAATCTTCCTCGTTACATCCAACGGTCATTCGACAAGAGAATTGCCGAATTCCAAGTCTTTAGTTACGGATATGACGAAGATGAATACGTTGACGAGTTCGGAGACAACTGTACAAAATGGTTTGAATGTTATACGACAACACAATTTGAATTCGACTTTCTCGAATTCAACGCAGCAACCATTCATATCATTGCTCTTTACCTTTCCGAACAACAACAAGACCTCGCAGATGGAAATGTTGTTACTGTCGTCATGAAAACTCCTGAACAATTCGGAAAAAAGAAGTCTCTAATTGCCAAATTCGTTCCAGGACATCAGCTTTTCCAACGCACAGAAGTCTTCTGTATTCCTGGAACTAAGTTCTTTGTCAGGAGCGAACTCAAAGAAAGATATAATGTGTCATTCAATTACACATTATATAATGTTTTCGACCCAGAAGAAGGCTTCTTCCCAGAAGCAATGGAGGAAGAAGAAGAGGAGGAGGAAATACAAGACTCTATCCAAGAAGAGTCCTCCGAATTCACACCAGAAGACTAACAATTTTCCGAATAAAAACTTCATTTATACTAAACATCTTCGGGGCTAGAGGGCACGAAGTGCCTGGAAGCCCCACTTACCTGACCTATACAATCTATCGGTTTTGAGAAATGCATCCCATCCTTTCATTCAAAATTTAAAATCATTCATATTTCATACTTTTCCAAATTAATTCTTGAGTGTATTAAAGTTATTGAGCTGAAACATAGATGTCCATATACAAATAAAATAAAATTTCTGTTTTTCGTATAGAATTGACCTTTCAGTGGAAAATTTTGCATACGGTAATAGGTTTATAACAAAAAGTAATATAAGATTAAAAGACCTAAACATTAGTATCAACATAATGGAGGAATGATGGTAATTGGGAAATTCTTCACACGATTGATCAAATCATTTGAGCAAGACTCAGTTCATTCGTAATGTTTCTTTAAAAAACAAAAACAATATGTTTAAAAAGCTACATTTACAGTACAGCTTACATGGAAAATCAAAAAAATAATTAAAATCGCATAAGTTAAAGAGATGGGAGAATAATTGTTGAGGCCTGCTTGGTTTGAATTCTGAGCCTGCTCATTGAAAGAGGACTTATAGTGAATTTCTCTGAAAATACGGGAATTTGTTTTGTGAGGGGTGATTTGCAATTTCACATTAGAATGCAAATATCTGACAATTTCCGCCATTGACCATCTTTGTTCAGGATTAAGGAAAATGCAATGTCTAATGATATTGACCAAGTTTTGAGGTATCTCTTTTGGGAAAATACAGCTTCCATATTCAAGATATTCAGTCCATTGTGCGAATGCATCTGGTCCCATTGCCATAAAGGCAACGATCAATCCGAAAGACCAAACATCAGCTTTGTATGGATCATAAGGTTTCTTGTGCTTAATTTCTGGAGCTGCATATCTTAAATTTCCGCAGTATTTTTGAGATATTGGCTCATGGATACAAGCCAAACCAAAATCGCAGATTTTAATGTTGAAATCATCATCAAATAGGATATTGGCCGGCTTTAAGTCTCTGTGAGCCAATTCATGATCATGGCATGATGCCAAAGCATTAGCAAATTGAGTGACCCAAAGGAAAAGCTTTCTTCCGGATATGGCTCCATAAGTTTTAATCCAATTATCAAGCGTGCCGTTACTGCAATATTCGACAATAACATAGAGATTGGATTCGTCGTAAAAATAATTATAAATTTTGATAATGTTAGGATGACAGACAGCACAGAGCGATTCAACTTCAATATGATATTTTCTAACCACTGTTTGCAAGTGATTGTCACAATGTTGAAGATTGATGACTTTGCAAGCAAATTTGTTGTTATACCTTTTGTCTTGAACAAAATAACAATTAGCAAAGGCACCTGATCCAAGGTAATCAAGATAGATGTATCCATGTTCATCTAATTTAGTTTGAAGTTGAGCTATTTCCATCGAAAAATATGAATTGAAAACAAATTAAATTGCTTTCAAAATGTTGAAAGGATTCAAAATATAATAATAAAAAATGATAATATTTTTAAATGATAATCGAAATAATACACTATATTTTTAATAATTAACCAAAAGCTTAATTGAAAATTTTGAGATGTAGTGAAAAAGAAAAAAACGAAGTGAAATTAATTGATTAATTATGCTGATCTAATGTTGTGTAATAATAAGAATAAAATATTTATCTATTGAATGATTAAAAATTCATTTCGATTTTTCAATTAACCGAAAAATATTCATTCTAATATAGATACTGAGCACATATACAAAAAATAATTTAATTGAATGAGCATTGAAAATAGAAAAAGTAAAATTGACAATTATTCATATTGAATAATTTCACGTATCTCATTCAAAAGCAATAAAAATATTGAAAAACAGTTTAATTCAACAAAAAGTTTGATAAAATTTTTTTATGCATTCAAAACTTTATTGTTATCGAAAAATCACCATCATATTTCCCACCAATTTTTTGCAAATTATTTTTTCAAAGGCTTTATTCATATCATTGTTCGATTTAGATTTACCATATATTCTCCTGCAAATTGCTATTTATTACATACATTACATTTATTCTGTAAATTTAATACAAAAATCATTTTTTTTATTAACACTAAAAAAAAAAAAAAAAAAAAAAAGGCAGTGGGGCCTCCAGGCGCGTTGCGCCCTCTAGCCCTGAAGATGTTTAGTATAAATGAAGTTTTTTTTTTCTTGGGATGGCCTTCCAGGCGCGTTGCGCCCTCTAGCCCATAAAAAGTTTTTGAGAGTCGTCGCCGTTGACTTTTTTGTAGAGCACTCAAAATAGTATAACTTTGTCCGGACAAGTAAGGGTCTATCGTCGCTACAGGAAAAGTTACAGGCGTTCCAAGGAAGTATACTTTGAGAAGCCTTTTCCCCCTTATAGAATGAGATAGGACGGTTATTTTACAAAACTGACAACACTTTGACCGAGTAGTTTTTTGTGCTGAACAAAAAGTGTCATATAAACATCTGTCAAAAACCGTTTTTTACTTCACTTAAAATGCCACGTAAGCTACGTAAGAATATACGTAAGAGGAAGAGAGCATTGAACATCCAATAGTAAAACTGACACCACAACAACAGTTGCAACAACAAATGATGAATGACCCCACTATGTTGCAACAAATGTCAAGCAACCCTATGCTTTTAAGCCGAGTTATTGGTGCACAGAGTGGAGGTTTAAGAGCGGCACTTTTAGCGAAAATGGCAGGCTATGGTGGAGCTGCAGACGGAACAGCTTATAAACCTCAAAGTCAAATGAATTTGAGTTCACTCAAAAATCAAATAACAGATGTCAAAAGTCAAACATAGACATACAGAAACAAATTATAGGTGACAAACGAAAGAAACTAGAATTATGACAGAGCACGCAAAAAACTCAATGAGTTAGAACGTAGATAATAAAGAAAAAAGAACAACTGAAATTATTAAGTACTGAGATATATCAAAAAGGTGTCAGTATAAAGCAGCAGAAAGTAGCAAAAATGAACAGGAAGATGGTTATTGGTATTTATATTGGATAGGATGTATAAAGTCTAGAACTTATACTTGTCTAAAGGTTACTGAGGATTGAAGTGTTATCTGTTTTCTTAACTTATGATGAATGAGTATTTAGTGCAACAGAAGAAGGCCTATAGACATTGAAGTTTGTGAGAGGATGAAGAATGTGGAAGAAAGGAGTGATGTTATTCTATATAGTGGAGTAGGCATGGAAAAACTTGTGAGTCAGTTGCAAAGACAAACGCGTAAAGTATGAAAAACTTAGCACAAGAAAGTAAAATAACAGACGCAAGCGCATGCAGAATTAGTGTAGATAGAAGGCAGAAAAGAAAGAGCTAATGAAAGGTAGTGCCAAGCGTAAGGCTGAAACTTTTAGTCGTTACTTGAGAGTAGGGGCTGCTGAATAAGGACAAATATGTAGTTACGAAGTCGATGGTTAAGCACAGTTATATAAGAAGCTAGGTGCGACTTAAGAATGATACTAGTAACATCATGATCGAACAGACAGATAAGTACAAGAACACGCAGCAACGACAGCATTCAGCCTATGACGCCGTTAGAGCAAGCTGTTTGAAAGTCAAGAAAAGAGTCAACAGGCCAAAACACTAGTAAATCTTTCTAAGAACGAAAAGTCAGTAGGATTATGCTGCAGATGAACATATGTGCAGCTGGTGGAACTTATATACCAGCTGTGGAACTTATATACTAGCTAGTGGAACTTATATACACCAAACCCTCAAGAGAAGCACCTGCACCAGGACTACCTAAAACATTTACATCGTCACATGAACACAACACAGGCATGCACCAAAACACACAACAACCAACACAAAACCAACAGTTAAAACACTGCACCACAACCAACAGTTCAAAACACTGCAGCACCACAACCAACAGTTCAAAACACTGCACACAACCAACAGTTCAAAAACTGCACAGCAACAACCACAAACAGAGCAAGGACATAAAAGAAGTAGAGAACAAGGAAACCAAGAATTCTTAAAAAATGCTAAGGAAATTATGGTTACCCAGATACTCTTGACTTTAGTGACAGATATAAAGAAGCTATTAGAAAGTTCAAGGAAGGAAATACTGACCGAACCTATTTAGCTTTATGGTTCAGCACCAAATGGGATATAATTTCAAACCTGGAAAATACAAGCTCGCTAAGGGATATGATTTAATAGCATATCATCCAAATGACATGACTGAATTTACTCCGAGATATTTGGTGTCAGAGATAAATGATAATTCAACTATCTTCATGAAACGCGTAAAAAAGATAGAGAGGAACGAAAGAAGAAAGGGTTTATGAATGCGGGATGGCTTAAAATAGGGAACTGTTAAAAACGGTCTCGGATATATGAAATGCCAGCAGATGAGGTACAAGAAACTCCACAGGAAGAAGTTCAGATACAACCAGACATGGAAGAAATAGTTCAGCAACAAAGCTGAAGAGCCTGAAGGAAACGAACAAGTCCCTCCTTTGGAAACTAACTTCACAGAACTAGATGAAGATTTGGAACAGCCGAAAAATCTTGACCCTCAACAAGAGTATGCGGAGATATGGAATCTTTCCAAGAGTCTAAGAAAAATTCGGCTGACATAGTAGAAGAATATCGAAAAATGTTCGCCGACATACAAAAGACTCCAACATCAGATGAAAATATTCAGCATAGAATGGAAGTACTGAAAGAAAATGTACGCAAATACAACAATCCTTTTACTTACGACCATATAACGTTCAATCTTTGGCTGAACTCGGAAAAAAAAGGTAAATTTCACCAAAACATATAGAAATGAAACATTGTTTAAAAGTTCATTCAGAACCTAACCAATAGGAAACAAACTACTTTTGTTTCTGCAGACTATGGAATACAATGAGATGGGGTCATAAAGCTAATCCGGATAGGTTGGTTCATAAACTTACAACACAAATTCCAAGAAGTTGTAGACGCAATGGAAGTGAATGGTGAACCAGAATATAGCTGGTAATTTTTCAGCGCGGCTTTAATGCCATTGAAAGATATGAAACATGCAGATATTTTGGACCAGTATGAAAATGAAACATGGCTGATGGAAAATATAACACCTGACGTTCTAGAACATTTATCTCAAAGAACTACACAGAACCATAGAGATGGTATATTTGGTGAAGAGTTTGAAAAAGAAAGTTAGGGAGATAGAAGGAAGAGAACCTATGTACATGACTTGCAAACGAAAGTTTACAAAATGTCAAAAAAACTTACTTTTGCAGACAATGAACTGAGAAGGATGAATATTAAAGAAAACTCAAAGGACAGTACCAAATGAATGTTAGTATTGAAAAACATGTTCCTTGACAAAATAAAACCAACTACAGAGAATAAATGACGCAAGACTGAAACATTGGGTAAAAGCTTTCCATTCACAAAAGATATTGTTGGTAACATGGAAAAGAAAAACCGAATGGCTACAAAACATATATTTTGGAAACGAGCTTATTCCATATGGACAAGCTCTGTTTGAAGAGCTTGAACCGGAAACTCAGGAAAGAGTCATGCAAACAATACGCGAAGACTCAAATACAAACTATGACAAAATCTTTCTAGGATATATAGGTTACCTGAGTTGGCGACAGAGCCCAAAAGGCAAAAAAGGACATGGGAAATTTTACAACATACTAGGTGAACATGAGGCAAAGATGCACAACTTGAAGAAGCAGGGCAAGTTACCAAAAGCGACACCAAAGAAGAAGAGTAGAACAAAGTAAAGTTGGTCCGAGTGGGTTCTATTATGATATATAAATCAACTATTCTATATTTTTACCATAAATGAATGTACGCCGCTCAGAAATATAATCGCCAACAGTTTTGGATGCCATGAACGGAAATGTTCCGAATGGTATAACGAATGCGCAAATGCCATTAGAAGGTCAGAAATAGTTCCTGGAACTTAGAAATATACAACTGCTGTTTTCTTATGGAAACGTAGGTGAGTTTGGAGAAGGTTCTTCAACAACAGTAAGATATTGC